AAATAAATATATTTATATGTACTTGAGGTCAATTTCTGTTTCTGTGGTAACTGTCCTACAGATAAGCTTAGCAGCTTTTAATGAAGTTGGAATGAAATGCTTTTTGGGGAACTTGTTAAATAGAAATTCACACTTTCATTTAAGTATCTGTATCTTTTTTTTAGGATCATGTCATAGTGCAATGTAAATCTTAGTTATGGTATTCAGAATGTCAGAATGTCACATTTTGTGCTGATTTGTATACTTCAATAGTCTGGAGCAGTTGAAGCAGCTAAACTATTTAGCTCTGGGAAGTCTGGAATTCCCATAAGAATTATAGTGATCTATGTGTAACATAACATGAGAATAAGACTTCTTGAAGTATAGACTACTAGAGGTATTACTAATAACAAAGGGCCAAAAAAGAGGAAAAACTTCTTCAAATGATTATGGATCAGTACTTTTAGCCAATTTATGATTTTAAATTTTGCCTGATGGAGTTCAATTTCACTCTAGTCGAGGCATTCTTGTTCTTCACCACTGGCCCTTCTGACATCCATTCTCTTTTCTTTATGGCTGTTGCAAATTTTCCTCATCTCTTCTTCATACTTGATAAAATTCTCCCCAAACCTTGTCCAAGCTTTGAATGGAACAGTAATAGTATTACGGTAAGGTGGCCTCACCTCACTTACCTTCAGGAAAATTCCATATTTATTAGAGCCCACATCAAAGTAGAACCTTTTATTGTCCACTCTGAATGAAGTCCCCTCTGGGAGTTCAGGCGGGTCATCATCTCCACCTCTACGTTCTTCTATGTCCCCTTCGCCATAGTCTTCGATCAGCTGAACCAAGGCATCACGAAACTCAATCATTCCTTGTGCTGGGAGGACAATTGTCTGTTCTTGGCCCAAACTGTGGCCAAAATAACCTATCATGCCAGTCCCCCGCATCATGGTTTGTCTAATCCTTAGGAAGCGACCCCGTTGATTTTCCTTTAGGTCTAGGTAATATTTCCTATTATCCCTCTCTATATAGTCTGTTTTGAGGACACTGTGAGGATGCTCTTCGGACCCCACGGAGACTGGCGGGGAGGGTGCGGAGTGCTTCTGTCTCCTCCTGGAGCTCTGCTCTTTGCTGTGGCCGTGCTCTTGCCGGTGGCCTTTTAGGCCCAGGTGGGCGTAGTGCTCAATGAAGTCCCCTAGACAGTCCTTCAGCTCCGCTGCCACCGACAGGGAGAGGGTCAGTTTACTCTTTCTGATGTTGTCCTGCCGGCCTCTCCCTATCCAGACTTCGGCTATCTTTAGGAACCGACCCCGGGAGCTTTGCTTCACGTCCAGGTAAAACCTCTTTTTCTGGATGTCCACTCGTTTGGAGGCCAGCTCCTGGATTTCCGCTGTGCCCCCGGCCTGATTAGGGGTGGCTGAAGGCGCGTAGTGGGGGTAGTGGGAGTGCTGGGCCTGGGGATAGAGTCTACTCTTGCTTAGGCCAGAGCCCCCCACATTCTTGCCTCCGCGGCCGCGGCCGCCGCCGCCTCCTCCTCCCCTTCGCCTGGCTCTTTCCATCTTCAGCTGCAAGTGACAAACAGACACACGGGGTGGGGTGGGGGAGGGGTGTTGAGAACAATCGCAGACGCCCCTCGGCCTGCTCTGCCCCCGCCGCCGCCCGGGACCCCCACGCCGGGCCGGGATCCCACAGCGCCGGCCGCCGCAGCGCCGGGCTCCAGCCTCAGCCGGACGGTAGTCGTCGGCGGCGGCTCCCGGCTCTGCAGCGCGCACACAGCATCCCTCTGCCGCCCTCGGCCTCCCGCTCCCGCACGCCGCCGGGCCGCCCGCCGCGGGTCCGCAGCCCCCGGTCCCCAGGCAGCAGGCACTCACATCATCTCTGCCATCACCGCCGCCGCCGATGCCCTTCACGACCACCGCCGCCGCCGCCGCCGCCAGCTCTCGGCCCCTCTGCCGCAGCCGCCGCCCCCCGCCTCCTCCCCTGCCGCCGCCGCTCGCACTGCCCCCCGCCGGAGCAGCGGGGCAGGGGCATCGCCTGCGGCGCCCACCGCCGCCGCCCCTCCTGCGGCCGCTGCGGGGGCCGCCGCCTTGATTCGGACGCGGGCCCGACACCCGCCGGGAGGGGAGGGGAAGGGGGAGGCGGGGAGGGTGACGGTGGGGGGCGGGCGGCGGACCCCGCCTCCCCCAGCACAGTCCGCTGGAGGGAAGAGGGGGTCTCGCGCTCTCCCTCAGCGCGCGCCCTGACGGAAGCCCAGCGCGTGGGGATACAGCGCGAGTGCGAAGCGACCGGACAGGTGTGAAGATGGGAATAAGGGGCGGGTGGTGAGAGTGTTCTGACTTCGCGGGATTCCGCCGGGATGTGGGACTCGGGCGGCCCACCGGCACCTGCACGGAGACTACACTTCCCGAAGTGCTCAGCGGCCGCCAGAGGCCCTGCGCACGCGCACCGTGCCGGCCGGCGCGGGACGGGATGCGGTGGGAGGGCTGCAGTGCCGCGCGGAAGGCTCCGGGGTGGGCCGGGAAAGGTCCGTCTTCGTCGACTGAAGCATACAGCTTGCGTGGGAGTCGCACTGGTCTGCACCCTGCAGCGCGGGAATAAAGTTTGTTGATTTGGTGCCTAGCCTGGGTGCCTGGTTGCAGGCCCTGCTGTTGTGGCGCTCCACAAGTCGTCCGGCTGAAGGAGCAGACCCGTTGAACTGGCTCTTCTCAGGGTAACGTGTCCTCCCCACTCCTGCTTCCCCAGCTGTGTATCCTTCTTCGACACGGGAGGGTGCTTAGGCCGGCGGAACCGGCCCCTGGGCTGTGTTTGGGAGATTCCCTAGAAACGGACATCCCCCTTCCCCCTTCCCTCTTCCGAGCACCGCGGGCAGGACGGGAGTTGGTGTCAGTCAGAAAGGGGGGGCGACAGGGTTGTCCGTCGTGCGCCTTTAGGATTCAGCCTTTACTCTTGGACAAATCGAGTCACTCCTTGTTACACAACCAAGTCGAAGGAAATAACCCGGTATCTGTGATTTAGCAAGCTATGCTGGATTTTTTTTTTGAGGTCACACCATTCAGTCCTTATTGATTTTTTCCCTCCCCTTGGTTGAATCTGAGTTCTCTGGAAAGGATTGATATGCAAAAATACTACTCGGTACTGAAGAGGCTAACACAATCCTTAGGATGCTAATTTAGGAGTCTGGAAGTCAGAATACTTCAGGCTTTGTATAATTCGGTCTGTTAATTTTTAGAGGTTGGAGGTCGGGGTAGGTAGGGAAGTTCAGATCCTGAAGTCGTTGAACCAAAAGGAAGAAGCTGAGATACTAAATCTAAAGAGCTTACTTTGAGTGAGGACAGCTGCCTGGAACACACTTCCCACTTGCCTTGGGGAGTGCTCCTTCGCCCTTAATTACAAGTAGGTTTTTATTTTCTTTGTTTTTATCTACCTATCTAATCCAATCTAATCTATCTGTCTGTCTATCGAATCTGTCTAATCATCTGTCTATCTATCTATCATCTTTTTGGTCTCGCTCTTGCTCAGGTTGGTCTCGGAACTCAAGAGGTCAAGCAATACTCCCACCTGGGCCTCCCAGAGTGCGAGGATTACAGGCGTGAGCCACCACACCTGGCCAGCACAAGCAAGTTTTTTTTTTTTTTTTTGAGACAGAGTCTCACTGTGTTGCCCAGGCTAGAGTGCCGTGGCATCATCCTCGCTCACAGCAACCTCAAACTCCTGGGCTCAAGCGATCCTCCTGCCTCAGCCTCCCGAGTAGCTGGGACTACAGGCATGCGCCACCATGCCCGGCTAATTTTTTCTATATATTTTTAGTTGTCCAATTAATTTCTTTCTATTTTTAGTAGAGACGGGGTCTCGCTCTTGCTCAGGCTGGTCTCGAACTCCTGAGCTCAAACAATCCGCCAGTCTCGGCCTCCCAGAGAGCTAGGATTACAGGCGTGAGCCACCGCGCCCGGCCACAAGCAAGTTTTTAAAGGGCGAGAGAGAACAAGGAGTGGGGCTGATACACATTTGCCGTCTTAACCATTTCTAAGTGTACAATTCGGTAATGTTAATTACGGTCACTGTGTTGTGCATTCATCACCCTTATTTCCAAAACTTTTTCATTCCTAAACAAACTCTAACCATTATGCAATACCTGCCCATTGATCCAAAGTTATTGGGCAGGAATTTTCGTTGGCTTACAGAGATAAAGCTACTTGGCGTCAGTCTAGAGCCCACATAGCAGGTGACTTCAGGATAATTTATCACAAGGGGGAGTGACATGGCCTGTTTTTTTATTCTGTTGCCTCTCTGGGCCTGATAAACGGGCTCGCATTCTTCAGATAAAAAGTTTCTTTTCTCCTCCCCTCCCCGCAGAGGTCTCCTCTTACTAATCCAAGAAATATTTATTGAGCACTGCTCTGGGCACTAGAGATACCAACAGTGAACAAAACAGACAAAAACCTCTCTGCTTTTGGAGCTTACATTTTAGTGGAAAGAGAAAGGCAAAAAGTCCAATGTATAAGATGTCAGAAGGTGACAGTCGCATGGAGAATAAAAAGGAAAGAGGGATGAAGAATGCAGGTGGGGGTAAGGGTAGGGAGCTGCAGTATTACAATAGGTGGTCAGGGAAGGTCTCTCTGAGAAGGTAACTTTTGAGTAAACAACTGAAGGAAGTGAGAGAGCTTACCCTGTGGTTATCTGGAGAAAAAGAAAGTACAGAAGGCCCTCGGGGAGCATGGTTGGTTGTATTCAAAGAGCAGCCTAGGAGGCAAGTAAGCTGGAGCAGAGTGAGACAGGTAAGGTCAGACCAGAAAGGGCAAGGGACAGATTGATTGTGTTAGGACCCTGCGCTATTTTGAAAATGTGGACTTTCATTCTGAGGGAGATGGGAATCTACTGGAAGGTTGTCAGGGAAACAATGTGATCTGAATTATCTTTTTCTTTTTTAAATTGTGGTAAAATATACGTAACATAAAACTTGCCACCTTAACCATTTCTAAGTGTACAATTCAGAGACGTTAATTACGTTCACTGTGTTGTGCATTCATCACCGTTATTTACCAGACTTTTTCATCACTTCAAACAGCAACTCTAACCATTATGCAATAACTACCTGTTGCCTCTTCCACCCAGCCCTTGGTCACCTCAAAATACATTCTTTCTTGATGAATTTACCTATTCTAGATATTTTATGTAAGTAGAATCATATAATGTTTACATTTTTTTATACGTGGCAAATTTCACTCAGCATAATTTTTTAAAAAGCAGCTTTATTGAGATTTAATTCACATATCATATAATCCACCCATTTAAAGTGTACAATCAATGGTTTTTGGTTTGTTCACAGAATTATGTAACCATCATCACAATCAGTTTTAGAACATTTTCATCACCCAAAAAAGAAACTCCATAACCATTAGTACCCATCCCCGTGTTCCGGGCAATCACTTACCTGCTTTCTGTTTCTATGTATCTATCAAACACTAGAACTTATTCCTTCTGTCTAACTTTATATTTGTACCCATTAACCACCCTCTTTTCATCGCCAACCCTATCCATCCCAGACTTTGGTAACGAACATTCTAGTCACTACCTCAATGAGATCAGTTTTTTTAGCTCACACATATGAGTAAGGACATGCGATATTTGTGTTTTTGTGTCTGGCTTATTTTGTTTGACACGATGCCCTTCAGTTCCATCTATGTTGCTGCAAATGACAGGTGTTTTTATGGCTGAATAATATTCCATCACATATATATACCACATTTTCTTTATGCATTCATCTGTTGTTGGACACTTAGGTTGATTCCATATCTTGGCTATTGTTGAATGGTACTGCAATAAACATGGGAGTGCAGATATCTCTCCGATATATTGGTTTAATTTTCCTTGGATGTATACCTAGTAGTGAGTTTGCTGGATTGTATAGTAGTTCTATTTTTAATATTTTAAGGAACATCCATACTGTTTTCCATAGTGGCTGTAATAATTTACATTCCCACTAACAGTGTGGGAGGGGTCCCTTTTCTCTACACCTTTGCCAAAGCTTGCTGTCTCTTATCTTTTTGATAATGGCCATCCTAACAGGTGTGAGGTGATATCTCATGTGGTTTCAACTTTCATTTCCCTGATGATTAGTAATGTTGAGGACCTTTTCATGTAACTGTTGCCCATTTGTATGTGTTCTTTTGAAAAATGTCTATTTGGGTCTTTTGCCTGTGTTTTAAGAGGGTGGTTTTTTGCTGTATATTAATGGTTGTATGAGTTCCTTATATATTTTAGCTGTTAACCCTTTATCAGATATATGGTTTGCAAATATTTTCTCATTCTGTAGGTTGCTTTTTCACTCTGTTGATTGTTTCCTTTGCTGTGCAGAAGCTTTTTACTTTGATGAAATCCCACTTGTCCATTTTTGCTTTGTTCCCTGTGCCTTTGGTGTTATGACCAAAAAATCTTTGCTAAGACCAATGTCGAGCAGCTTTTCCATATATTTTCTTCTAGTAGTTTTACAGTTTCGGGCCTTCCATTTAAGTCTTTTTTCCATTTTGAATTGATTTTTGTGTATGGTGTAAGATAAGAGTCCAAAGACTATTCTTTCTCCATTGTGTGATCTTGGCACTCTTGTCAAACATCAGTGGAGCATAAATGTGTGAATTTATTTCTTGGCTCTCCATTCTATTCATTTGGTCTTTATGTGTGTTTTTGTGTAGCTGGGTACTTTTAAAAAAAGAACATTTTGTCTTTTGATATTGCAGACTATTGAGTAAGCATCTGTGTTTCTCTTCTTGAAGAGACTGTTGTGTCTTTTTGGTTGGCCTTGTTGAAAAGTAGTTGACTGTGTGTGCTTTGGTTTATTTCTGGGCTCTCTATTCTGTTCCATTGGTCTGTGTCTGTTTTTATGCCATACCATACTGTTTTGATTATTATAGCTTTGTAATATAATTTGAAATCAGGAAGCGTGATGCTTCAAACTTTGTTTTTCTTTTTCAAGATTGT